GCGAGGCCGGCGGCGGGCGCGGGCGCAGGTGCGGGTGGAAGCGCTTCTCGAGCGAGGAGGCGAGCATGGGCGGCGGGACGGGGCGCCACGAGTCCGGGCCGGAGACGTACGAGTGGGCGCCGGGCGACGCGGCGTACCACGACGGCGGGTCCTGCTCGAGCGGCTCTTCGTCGTCGTCGTGGTCGTCGCCCGGGATGCGGATGGGGCTGGAGAAGAAGGCGCGGCCGCTGTGCACGCTGTCTTCGTCCGCCGACGACGCCGCGGAGCGCGCGGCCGCCGCGGCGCCCTCGTCCGGCGCGCGCATCGTCGCGCGGCCGCCGTGCAGGCTCCCTTCTTCGGCGGAGGACATGGCTGCTGCGCGCGGGGTGGGGTGGGGTGGGGGGGGGGCCGGTGGGAGGGAGGTCCCGTTTTGTGGAGGGCAACGGGGTGCTGAAGATGATGGGGATGACGGGGAGCACTGAGAGCAGAAGTTGGCGTCGGGGACATGCCCCAGGCGCGTATGAAATGGATTGGTTGTACGGCAGTAAAGGCATTTCCAATAATTATTTCAACCAATACATTCATGCCAAGTTTCAGGGTGCTCGGGTGCTTGCACGGCGAACTCTTCGTTAGGAACGGCCCTCACGGCCCTGAGGGCCGTTCCTAACGAAGAGGGGTGGGCGTGTGCTGTGGGGCAGTGGGGCGGGGCAGGCTGTAAGGCGGGGACACAGCCTGTAAGAGCGGGAGGCAGGCGTGATTGTTTGAAAACATACAGTATCACAGGATGATACCGTATCATAGAGGCAATTTCACGCTGGTGAAGGCGGCGGCACATAGCGGCGGCACATGGCGGCAGCACATGGCGGCAGCACATGGCGGCGGGGCATTGGTCGCGGCGCAGGGCGCATTGGTGCGATGGAATGGCGGTAAAGAGAGGGACGGATGAGGGCGTCGAGAGCGGGTCGAGAGCCGTGTCCTCCCTCATACACCTTACATCCTTACATCTTTAATAACAACAGCGCGGGGGCCCCTCGAGAGCAGAGAAGACTTGATATATTTTCGCGTTTATTTACTTTCGGGACGCGCGCACGTCTGCTTCCGAATAATCCCCTCGAGGTGCGCCACGTGTTACCGCCGCGCGAATCTGCTCTGTGGCAAGCCGCACTCGTGTGTCGTGTGCGCACTTGCTTCACCATCTGTTTACGTACTGCTGTATCACTACTACTCCCGCTGCCCGGAACCTCTCTGTCGTCCGCCCGACACGCCGCGTCGGGCGAGAGAGAGGCCTCCGTCGCGCTGCTTGCATCCCTCATGGCTGCCCGGAAGCTCTCTCGCGTCCGCCCCGACACGCCGCGTCGGGGGAGAGAGAGGCCTCACCCCCCCCTTTCTTGTCATCACAGCTCTATACATACGTCGGCAACGCGGTTCCTGCAGACATCGTGCCTCAGGTATCGTCATCAAAATAAAAACCCTCCCATCCTCGAAAAATCTTCTCCCCTCTACCCGCCTCCCGACGATACCCTCCGCATCCACATGTACCGCAACGTACGGAGTCATTGCGCTCCAACGCCCTACGCTTCCACGTTACCAACTCCCGACTCTTGCAGTGACAGTGTCGCTTCATCACCTTCCTCCACAGTCACCGTCGATTCCCGCTTCTTCCTTCTAAACCGCGGAAACCGTCTCCTCCTTGTACTATTCGTCGACCTCCAAGACTCGGCCATAGAAACTTCGCTCCTCCTGCTAGCCCCATGCTCCGAGTCCTTAGAATCCTCCTTACGGACGGCACCCCTCGCCATGCCCAAAAATTTATCCGCATTCTTCAACGCCCCGCCGTGAGTAGCCCCCCTCGACTTAATCTCCCGAGTCCTCTTCGTGTACGCCGTCGCGCTATGATCCGCCATCAGCTTAATCCTCTCCTTCGTCTTCTCCACCGCGTCGTCATCGGCCTCCTCAGTCTTGGCCTTCCACGCCTCCCAGGACCGCTTCATGTTCTCCTCCATCCTCTTGTGCTCCACCGCCTGCGCCTTCTCGGCGTCGTACCCGGCCCCCAGCGCGCCTGCCGCGATCATCGCCGCCGCCTTGCGGCTGGGCACGATCACGGCCTCAGGGTTTGCCGCGTTGGGGTCCTTGGCCAGCTCCTTGCGCAGCGCGTCCAGCTGCGCCCGGTTCTCCTTCAGCGTCTCCTGCGCCGTCTTCACCGCCTCCTCACGCTCCGCCAGCTGCGTCTCCAGCCCGTCCAGGCAATGCTCCGTCGGGTGCGACAGAGGGTTCTGCCCCTCGCGCAGCTGCGCAAACAGCTCCGTCTTCCTCCACAGCATCGTCAGCGCCAGCAGCGGCAAGAACGACGCGATCACGCCCAGCTTGACTGCGAGCGGCCCCAGCCAGTGCGGCCGCGTGCGCTCGACCAGCAGCACCAGCAGCACCAGCCCCAGGAACAGCACGGTCGGGTCCGGCAGACGCGACGCCAGCGCCGCCGCCTTCTCCACCAGTGGCATGTACTTGGCCATTGCCTTCTGCAGCGGCGACTTCTCGCGCTTGCGCCGCGCCGTCTCGGCCGCCTTCTCCTCCTCTGTCAGCTTCTTGGGGAAGAGCTTCTGCAGCAGCGCAGCGATGGGCGACGGCTTGGGGTCGTCCGGCGCGCGGCGGAAGCGGATGACGGAGCGCTCGTGCATCGTCTCGTCTTCGACCTCGGCGCCTAGGCCGATGAGGGTGCGACGCGTGCGGTGCGGCCCCCTGGTGCGCGAGGTGGGGACGACGGCAGGCGGGACGCGGGCCGCGTCCAGCGCTTGCATGTTCTTGGCCAGCACGTCTGCCGCCGGGACGAGCAGCGGGCGCGTCGACGAGGACAGCGCCATTGTTGTGGTGGGATGGCACGAGGAATGGGTACGAGGATGGAGCAGGAGGAAGGGGAACGAGGAGGGGGAACGATGAAGGGGAACGATGAAGGGGAACAAGGAAGGGGAACGAGGAAGGGGAGCGGGGTGGTGGGTGGTGGTGAGTTGGCGAAATTGAGTAAAGGTTGGGTTTGAGTCGTTACAAGTCGGTGTGGGGAGGCGGGCAAGTGACGAGAGGGGTGGAGATGCTAATTAAAGGGTAGTACAGTCACGCTGACAGATGGATAAATGCAAGGACTCGGGTGGACCCCCAAGAGACGAAAATCATCGCGTGCTCGCTCTCTTGCGCGCTTTCCAACAGACCCCCAGAATCGCCTCACGAAATTCTAAATTGCTATTCACAACGGTCACTTTCCAGCCAATTACATCCTCACGCCTCTCGACCCTTTCAGACACTGCAGACACGACTGAACTTTCCAGGACCGCCCCGTTCATTGGCTGTCCCTCACTTCTACCAATTACCGGACACGTGGCCACGCGTCCGGCATCCCCCGCATGCAAGGCCAATCATTCCTTGTTTCATCTTTCTCCCCCATCCACACCCGTCGACAACTCTCACACTCATCTTTCCTCGGCAACCCGCAACCCTCCCTCCCCATCGCCTCAACAACCCTCCACCCAAAAACGATACCATCAAGCTCTCCACTCTGCTACTCCCAATTTTCAAAAACCCTTCAGAACATGGCCACCCCGGCCTTCGCCGCAACCACCCCGCTCTCAGCCACGCCCTTCACAGCCAACCACCTCCTCTGCCCCCCACACCCCCCTTCCTACTCACTCACGCGTCGTCCCCGATCAGTAACCCCGCCGTTCACCATGCAGGCGAAACGGTTCGTTCCACCTCCGCCACCACGCTCTCATCCCCACTCGCCCATCTGACCACATTCCACCTCGCCCTCCCCACCCGTCAGACCCCTGGCCTCTCGCCTCGCGAGCGGCGCTCTTAAGATGCTCATCCAGTCCCTGTGCACCGTCACGGATGACCTTGACGTCGATATTCAAGCTTCCAGCAACATCGCGCTTCTTACAGGCAACCTAAAATCCGTTTCGGTCACTGTGTCTCGCATCGTCTTCAACGGCTTTTCCGTCTCGGCCGGCGCGGCTCTATACACAGATCAAATCTCCATCCGTCCGCCCCCACCCGGTACACCGCTCGCATCCCCGCCAAAACTCGCAAGCCCCTTCTCCGTCTCCGTCCGAGCTAATCTCACGGAGGCAGACCTGAATCGCGAGGGGCCCGTCCGCGACGCCATCGAAGCGCTACTGAGGCAGATTCTTGCCACGGGACTTAGCGGCGCCATTGGTAGGGTATTACCCCGGGAAATTGGAGGAATAGAGTGCGTCTTGGATAGCGTCGAGCTTTGCGATGCGCCCACGCGCCGACAGAGTGACCACTGGGGACGGGCCAGCACCCCGATTACTCACCCCAAAACCGCGGGAGGGAAGCTCATGCTCCACGCACGTGCATCACTTTCGTCTGGGCGCGTTCTTCGATTTGCGGTTCGCTCTGGTCTTTGCACAGAGGCCAATGGGAGTATCGTCAAGTTGAGTAATCCCGAATTAATCTGGCGTCAGTTTTCTGTCCCCATGCTTACCATTGATACCATTGGCTTGCAACTTGACGACACCACCAAGCTTACCGACGTTCAGATTGACAGGGGCGTACTATCGGGTGACGGCATCTTGGTCATTTCTCCGCCTCCGGATAACTCGAGACTCCTGCCATCCGAGAATCAGATAGGGCGAAGCTCAAACGGATCACAAACCAATCCTAGGAGAATAGGGATGCGTATGTCGGCAGCTTCTGTTGGCTAGTTGCGATTAATGTACAACTGGATTCAACGGCTCACCCTATCGAGTTTGTACAACAGTAAAGCGACCGCATGAACGCAAGCAATAGAATGTTAGAGATCAATGAAGCTCGACGGACGCAAGCTCCGTTCCATTGGAAATTTTCGTCTCTTACCCTGGTCGTCTTCCATGGTATCTTGGCATCATGCTCCTGATCTATTTCTCCCAAAACTGCTATATTATCTCCACGGATGACATACAGGCCAAGAGTAACAGTCTCCACCCCAGTATCGGTCGCAAAAATTCGCTCGACAGACTGTTCCAAGATTACGTTGCAGACCTGGTCAAAGCCACGGAGGGTGCCGGTGACATTGCGTCCGTCGTTAGTGATCACATTGACTCTCTTGTTCACGTATTCGAGGAGCAAAGACTTCTTCCCGGAAGGCCTGCTGCTTTGTCCCTCTTTTGCCACCGGTTTCATAGACATTTTTCACGGGTAGCTAGGGAAGCAGGAAAACACCCCAGTCAGTGTCAAGTCGACAGCTGTAGATGCCTGTTCTGGATAGTTCCGAGGTACCCCCTTCATACGGCGTGAAATACCGTTACCAAATGTGTATTTATTTTATGGAAATATTTTCCCAACACGACATCTTCTTTGATCCCAAAACAGACGCGATGTGGATCACTGTGTTAAGTGCCATTTAAACCGCCGTGGACATCGCCGATCAACGCCTCTGTAGTGATCGAAATTCGCCATCATCACACAGATCGCCACCTCAGACCTCACTTGAAACAACTCAATTCTCCCTTCGAAGCAGCAATTTAATTGCTTTGGATTCTGGAATCGTAATTCACGACGTTGCTTGTGAAGAAAACTTGTCGAAATGGTACGTGGCGCGTTGGTCCGTGATCATTCCAATGCCAGCCAGCATCACTGCACCACAAGTCGCAACGGGTTGACATGAACAGATGTTTCAACACACAAATTGTAAGAACGGCCAGTAGCAATCACCGAGATTCCAATTGTACTGACACTTTCCTCATGTTCTCTTTCTGTGTTAGGCTGCAAGAGCTGTGAGAAAGATCATCCCGCTCCTGGATCGAGTCCTTATTGAGAAAGCAGTAGCGGAGAAGACAAGCGCTGGAGGCGTTCTTCTCCCGGAATCTGCACTCAGCAAACTCAACGAGGGAAAGGTCATCGCAGTTGGGCCAGGGGCCCGAACATCTGATGGCAGCGTTATCAGCCCATCTGTGAAAGAGGGCGATAATGTTCTTCTTCCAGAGTATGGAGGCTCAAAAGTTGTCGTCGATGGAAAGGACATGTTTTTGTACAGAGATGATGATTTACTTGGACTAATTGAATAGGAAAGTCCTCAACAACACACCACAAGCAGTAGATACCTACGTGCGTTTATCTGCCCTAGGGTTGTTTAAGTATCCAGCATATTTCGATACAGCAGTGATTTCTTGAATATCAGGTAATCCATTATAAAAGCGTATATCTGACCACTGACCAATCTATGCTTTGAATGACTACGAACTCCCATCGGCAGTGATGTTGTTGTTAACAACAGCAGGACGGAGAGATTGCCTTCTTTTATGCTGCCTTAGACGGTGCATAACGTTGTGAACTCCATCCCTTCTGTCCATTACCTGTTGATATTCAGGGGTACCTTCCTCTATGCTTCTGAGCTTCCTCTCCGCCCGTGCCAGCTGCTCTTGTAGAAACTCTAAAGTCAAAGAATCCACTTCCTGGGAGCTCACGTCGTTTTTCCCTTCAGCGCCCTTACCTGGAGGTGTCTGTGCAGCCCAGGGATCCGCGTTCTCGTCATTATTTTTATCGCTCTCGACAGCCTTATCTGCCTTGTGCTTGAGGAATTTGATCGCAGCCTTGTAGGTCCGTTCCTTAGAATCTGCATTTGAGTTTGCTTTGTACAGTTTCTTTTTCGTGGCGACAAGCTTATCGCAATACCTTACTGTCTTCTTCTCTGCCGCCATCCGTTTCTCCCGCTCCTGCGACGCGCGAACTTCTAATTCAGTCATTTCCTTTAGAGCTTTGTTGAGGCGGCGGGCCAAGTCGTCCTTCCTATTTACCACATCTGCTTGGTAAACAAAGCTCGACTGGATGCCATTCCGAATGTCTTCAGGAATTGCTGGGACTGCAGACATATCCAGAGCCGCAAGTGCTGATGACAGCCTCTCAATCTCTCCTTCTCGGCCCTGCAGTGCTTCTTCGAGACGCGGGACTGCTGTCATTGCGACCCTGGCGTCCATTAAGGGAACCTCGGCGTCTCTATGCCGCGCAATAAGCGCTAGGGCAGGGACCTGATAACTCCCAGAATTATCAGTCTCTGAGGTGACATCCAAACCTAGTTCTGGCCTCACCCGCTTCGATACTCTGAGCCCAGCGATAACTGCGAACACAGTGGTGCGGAAGCGTCGCTTGGGAGATAAAAGCTGCTGCTTTGAGGATGCCAGAATGTCAAGGCCATACTTTGTTTGATACATATCAATCATGTATGCCAGGATTTTCTTCTCGGCCACGAGCTGCACACGAAAGGCGACAAGTCGGTCAGATCGTTTGTCCAAAGCAGAATATTTCCCTGTTAGCCTAGCAATCTCTTGGACAGCATCGCGCGAAAATTCTTCAAGCGCTACAATCGATTCTTCTGTACCGGAAATTTCCGCTAGGCGAGCGATAAACGCCCTGTGATCGGAGGAAACTTGAGCAAGCATTTCTTGTGCAGTTCTCTTTTCGTGGATGACATGATCAATCTGCTGCTGAAGTTCAGCAATGGTTCCACAAAGCGCCGCATTAGCCCTCGATTTCTCGTTGTACATGGTCCTAGTTCGCTTCAGTTGGCTCTCCAAGAAGCCAGCAGCTTCCTTACCGACATCGGCTGATTCAGCAAGAGATTCTCGCCGACTCGCAGCAAGGTTCGACACATTGGCAAACGGGATAGGTCCATCAACAGAATATTTCGTGATGTCCGCTGATGACTGCGTCTCCTTTGCAACATAGCCCGGGCTTATGTATGGCAAAGTGTCGTCCGCATCCCTTTGCTCAGAAATGGAATCGAAAATTCTGGGCGCTCCCAACTGGTCAATGAGCTGCTGCTTACCATCTACAACACCAGAAATTTCATCTAAGAGCTCCTTGGATTCGATGATCACCGCCTTCGCTGCAGGGCTAACCTCAGACGATTCTTCTCTCCTGATCATACGGTCTTGCCTTTCCCTCAAAGCACGAAGTCGATTGGCAAGCCGATCTTTGAGGTCAACCAGCTGATCCAGCGATTGGATCGCTGCAACAACAAGTGGGTCTCTCCATTGAATGGTATTGTCAGCTCCAACCATTGAATACATGCTTTCTCGCCGAGACCAAGTTCCGGCCAAGCTATGTCCAGATTGCCGGCGGATTCCTATTGATGAAGATGTAATATCCCCCACTGACCCGATGTCCGAGACATCGCGCTCCTGAAGTAGTTCCATGACATGCGCTTGTGCAGTCTTGCACTCCTCATCAACACGGTTCTTGACATTTGTGAGATGTTGCACTTCAGCCTTCAACGTTGAAATTTCACCCTGCATTTCAGAGCGTACCACGTTCAAAGTTCGTTCTCTCTCCAACACCTCGCTGCGTAACCTGACTGCATTGCTCTCAAAGTCAGACCTCTCTTGGACTAACTTATCAACCCGCCCAATTAACTTATCGATGAGGTCCTTGCTATTCTCTGGACGGTAGCCAAGCGTATCAGACAAACGGTGAAGGAATGCAATTTGCTGCTGCTTCAAATGTGTTTCCCTACTGGACACAAAGACGTTTGATTTCGTTGCCGCTACTGCCCTGAGACGATCACATTCCCTCCGCAGCGAAAACATCTTCTCATCTTGGTTCGCCGATCTCGTTTTCAAGTCTACCAGATCCCTAGACTTTTCATTCAAAAGCCTCTGTGCACGAGAGAGCTCCCCACGTAGCGTCTGCAGTACCCCGTCAACAGCAATCCTGATGGAGTTGTCTTTGGAGTCATGGTCGAGACAAGAACGTTGGCTACTCTCAATCGCAGCTTGCGTCAGTGAATTCAAGTTGTTATCTTGCTCATCCGCACTCGTCTGCATCTGTTTGATGACTACATCTCGTTCTTCTAACTCCTTCTCCATGCGCTGGATTTTCCCGTCCCTCTCATCCAAACCCCTAGTTGCATCAATCAGATTTTGGCCAACGGCTTGATCCCTCTTCTGGTGCTTTTCCTTGTCCTTGCGGCGTTCCCTTTCGACCTGCCTGGTCTCGCATTCAGCGATGTCGCGTTGGTCCCGCAGCGTCAAACTCCGTTTGACACTCTCCTGAAGATCAACATTGAGACTCAAAATAGCGTCATCCACTTTTGCCTTCTCGGCTGAGACGGCCTTAACATGGGCACTAAGAGCAGAAATCTCAGACTCAAGCTCTTCAATTCTCTCAGCCGCCCTTTCTAGTGCAGCAGCACGCTCAAGAGACTGGCGAGAAAGTAGTAGCTTGGAAGTAGGCTCAGGAGAAAAACCTGCCCCCCTTTTTGAAATACCCTCGAGCTCTTGCACCTGATCCATCAGACATTGGTTTTCTTTTTCTATTTTAGAGGTTCGAGCACGTGCACTGTCGAGGAGATTCTCCAAATTCAAAACGCGAGACTGCAAGTCTTGCATTTGACGACTCTCACGAGCGATAATATCAGCACTTTGACGCCTAGTCACTTGGTTTGCAAATAGTGGTTCTAAAGCAGCCTTGGCACCTCTTGAAAACGAAAAATCAGGACGAAACTGTTTGCCAAATTCGACAATATCCTCAAGCAAATGGTTGAGACTGGACACTTTCTCTTTCAAATGATCATTTTCTTTTTCGGCATGTTCGAACCTATCTCGCTCATCCTGAATTTGAGTAAGGAACATGTGCATAACCGTGGCCTGCTCACGTTCAGCTTCAGAGTGAGAGCTTTGCTGCTTGTCCACAATGGACTCCGTTATTTCTACGGCAGACGTTTGCAGGTTGGACAGTTCCATCCGTTGAAATTGAATAGTATCCAGCAATTTAGCCAACATCCGCGACTGCGGGCTCCCATCTGATGCAAGATTGCCAAACGCATATCGCTCGTCTTCTTCAAACGGACCTGTCCTGGAGAAAAGAGTGAGGACATCCGCTGGACTGACTGGATGTTCCGAAAAGTTCGATGGAAGATCAACTTGGAACGAAGTGAGGCCAGATGAGGCCAGAAGTAAGCGCCTTCTCTTGTCTACTTCGTTGGCTAATTCGCCGACAGCAAAGGGTTGTACGCCGTCAACTTTTTCAAATTCGTTCACGTTTTTGTTATCGCTTGGTGATGAAGTCGCCACGTTTCTATCCATGATATCGTTCAATTGCCCAGCGACGTTCTCAGCTGAAGCCTGCGGCAAGTTGGGGGCAATATCGGGGGCAGGCGCAGCAAAGTCGATTTGCTCCGCAGGAGTATCTTTCCAGGTTGAAATGGGATGCGTGCTCTTAGAAGAGCCAGAAGGCACGTTATGAAGTTGAGAAGAAAATTGAGGTTGAGGAGACATAGAGGGATGAAGGTTAGGGTCGGTAAAGGGTGTGCAAGCAGTTCCAGTTCCACCGAATTCAACACAATCGTCGCTCCTATCCGATATGGTCTCGTCATCGTCTCCGAGCCCGCTGTTATCAGACTCCTTCGCTTCATGAGACTGAGAATCCGCATCGGCTTTGTGGTCAGGATTAGTCATGTCATCAACTTGATCCGATTGGATCTCGTCGACATTGCTTGCACGAGTAGTTTGGGTATCATCATCTCCCTGACTGCCAAAGAGCGTCCAGTTGAAAGAAGTATCATGGGGAATAGACGATGTAGAGGTTCTCTGAGAGATTCGACGGCCGAGAGTGTTTGGGACCATATCGGAGAAAGTTGTCGGGAAAGGTAGCGGGCTTGGGGCGGGGCTTGCGACAAAGTTCTCCATAGAGACGAAGGTGCCCGGGTCACTTTCGTTATCATCCATGGCGAGGTAGGGTAGAATTTGGGTGGTTTAATTCCACACGTCGCTGACCGTCAGTTGGATTTGCGATTATTTCGAAAGAAAAGTAGCGTTCGCCACGCCCGCTGCGGAGTTGTGCACTTTTTCTGAATTGGGGTTGATAGATGGACTTCTGTGGATATTTGAGAAATGGTGAGGTTAGGAAGGAGCTGGTGCATACAAGAAACGTTATCTGCGTGAAGAACCTGAAAAGGCGGGATGAGAGTGGGTTTGAATCCATACCGATTTTGACTTTTTGAATAAACCAGTAGAAAACGAGGAACCCCTTCTGTGGCGCGCAGAATTACAAAAATGTGGGTTCTACCATTTTCGAAAAGAAGCATAAACAATATTTTTTAAAAATAGGCTGAAATTCAGACAGCCCTGCAAAACTGAAATTTCTTTCGAAAAGCCACCGCAAGTGTACACTTTCATTCCTACAGTAGTGGTCAGAACTGTACGCGTTCAAGTTTCTTGAAAAAAATTGAATAAAAAAAGGGCATCTGAGTTTTGGAAGCGCTCGAACTTGAAGAAACATCAAGCGTCAATACATTTTTCCGCTGTCAAGGTGCCGGAATGGAACCATTTTTGAGGGATACATCCGGATAACGAGAACGTATGCCACGTTTCCATCGGGGAACAGCGTTGCCCTGCATGCCGAGCACGTAATCTTTATTTGGTTCGAAGGGCTGTTGCAAGAAGAAAAAGTTACCCTTTCAACAGTGCATACATAGCGGATCTGCAATGCTGTACAGTTGCAACAGGTGTTGGAATCAACCCCTACCATCATGCACTCCGGCCCCCATTCATAGTACAAATATATCCTTCGAAGGGTAGTACTTCGTTGGTCCATCAGCAAGCAAGCCCACATTGCCTGCACCCCTTGACGCTCTTTAAGTCCAGCAAACCGGCCCCCTCCCCTTCTCCTTCCCCCGTCCCGCCTGGGTTCTTCAAAAGAGTGTGGCAGCTCATGTGCATCAAATCATTGCTTGCATTATTTGAGACAGCACCCACCTTCAGCACCTGAGCCCTTCCACGTCCCTATCTTTCATTTCCATCGCATTGAAACAAGGCCACACCGCAACAATCAAATAATTGCCTCGCTTTCTTAATCCACCGTTCAAAATGATGAACCGTTTATTTGGACTTGGCAACCCTCCAGCTTATGGCGTGCCCGCCGAAGACGAGCTTCCGGCAGGCGAAAAGCCGTCAACGAATGCCGACGGATCCCTGTACATTTCGCTTCCCAAGAAAGATGGAGTCATGCAGCAAACCTGTATGTACACATCCTGCAGAGCTATCGTGCGACCAACGGCTAAGCAGCATGCTTTCGAGTTGGTTGTGTCCAATACCGACGAAGACGATGCAGCGAGCTCTGTTTATCCCTCCGATTCAGTCTTTGCAATCGAGCAATCCGCTCGATTTGAATGTGCCGATACTCAGTGTGGCTGGTCGGACCGCACAACGAAAAGGTACAGCCTTGACTTTGATGACGCCTCCGCTGCGTCCAAGTTTTTCGATGCGTTGGCAACTGCTTTATTTGAGGCCATCCATTCTCGAGAGCCGCGGCCTGATGAGGAAGGCGACATGCGCCAACTCGTATCGGGACAGAAAGCGGAACGCCCATCAGAGATCTTGGTGACGTCCGGGGAGTTGCTGCGTGTGTCCGGCGAGCTGTTCAATTTCAATACGACAAACGATACGTTTGAAACGATCATTCCAAGCGTCGTTGTAACCATTAATTCTGCAATCGCAAAGGAGGATAGGAGTCGCGCTTATATGATGTCGGTCTTCCAAGAAGACACCGGCGATGCGGTTTTCGAATGTGAAGTCAATAACGACATGAATGCTCAATTCTACGCCCGCACCCTGTCCATGGTCTGGATGCTCAACCGTTTTGATGAAGCCGATACGGAAACACAGGAATGTGACTCGAACAACCAGGTTTGCCTTTCAATTGTAGTTGAATCCGCAGAAGATTTCGTCTCGATGAGGAATCAATACTCTGTATGCTTGTTTGAGGTGAACCATCAAGCATCTATGGAAGACTTGAAGTTGAAAGAATATGACAGGGAGTACATTATTCAAAGTGAGCGTGACGACGTTGAGCCAATGGAGATTGAAGAAAGTGGCGAGGAGGACGAAGATAGAAGAGTGCTCGAAGACGAACGGCCACAGTCGAGGGCAGGTGGCCTGGATGAGAATGATGGCATGGCCAACAGTCAGCTTGCTGTTTCCGCAAGCTCAGACCGTACATTTGTAGTGCGAGGGAACCAGATGGGCGTGTTTCAAACTGGCGATGACGGCGCCAAGTTTAAGACAACGGTTCGTTTCAAGGACCCCTCAGGAAATGGGCGGTCCTTCCTTCCATCAAACATTCTTCTCCATGAACAAGACAAGTCCATGCTGGTTCTGGATTCACAAGACCCTACTAAGATGATGCGCATGGATTTAGAACGAGGAGAAATTGTGGATACCTGGTCTGGTCCTCTCACGAAGAATACCCCCGTTCATGCTGTCCATCGCGTCGCCAAATATTCGAATCTCACAGATACGAAGGAGTTTGTGGGTCTCAACAAAAATCAGCTGCTGAGAATGGATCCTCGAACGCGAGAGTTCATTGTTCAAAGCAAGAAGTACGCTGCGAGCACACGCGCCAAGCTGGGATGCGTTGCAACAACAGGAAGCGGCCATTTGGCTGTGGCATCCGAAAACGGGGACGTACGACTTTACGACCAAATTGGCAAAAACGCCAAGACACATTTACCAGGGCTTGGTGATAACATCATAGGTATTGATGTTTCTGAGGATGGGAAGTACATTCTTGCAACAACAGCAAAATACCTGGTTATCATTAACACAGTGGTCCAGGCAGAAAGCCAGCATTCAGGGTTTCTGAAATCAATGGGCAAGCACAAGCCTGCTCCGCGCAAGTTAGTGATCAAGCCCGAAGACATTCACAAAAATCGAATGGGAGAGATCAACTTTACTCCGGCGCATTTCAATACGGGCAGCTCTTTGGAGCGAAGCATTGTGACAAGTACTGGTCCTTTCATTGTCACCTGGAATTTCCGATCGGTCAAACTCGGAAAGCTTCACAACTACAATATCACAAGATACATGGACAATATTGTTGCAGATGACTTTGCCTATAACGATGATGGTCGCATTGTCGTGACGCTTCCCAATGATGTTACTGTCGCGCGCAAGAGATAGTATCAGTATGAATACGTCTGACAAGCGCTTCCAGATACATCTGATAACATCCCTAAAAGAAGGCCGCTAGACGCTACTGCGCTGAAATGGATGTGATATCTACATATTCATGACCTGAGGAGTGAAGTATCGAAATTGTACAACAAAAAAGACGAGTATGACGACGCATGCATTGTTTAAGAACTGCTTTCTATCTCAGTCCAATCCCAAGCTTTGCGACTCTGTCTATCTCTTAACCTCCTATGCTAGGTTGGATCACTAGATGATATCGAACATCTTTTTCAGCTTGACGACTAAAAGCCAGTCTTCTCTGCCCAGGTCTTCCTTGAAACTTTGCTTCAATATCTCAATTGCAGGTCGACTCATTTTGCTGACTAGGACGTCTTGAAAATCAAAGTGCCGCCCGTACATTATGTGTTCTGTGTTTTTATGCTGAATCTTGACGGCCACACTTTCCCCCTTTCTCGCTGTCACTACCTGTTTCTTGCTCAGTTCCAAGCTTGCAACTCGCCCAATATCCAGCCACTCGGCACCATGTTTCACAACCAAAGGAGTTCCAACACGTAGGATGCCCTCCAACACATCGACACCAACCACTATCGGATCTTTCTTGTTGTACACATGCTGTGGAAGGATTCTACTGATACTCGGAAAGACGACTTCATCACTCACTTGTTCTCGCCGATCTTTTTTGATTTGTTCCATGTACGCTGTGAATTGATCAAACAAATGATAAATAATGTCTGCAGTGAAGATCCTCACTCCAGCGTCTTCCGCCAGCTCTCGAGCTTCCTTTTCCACTCCGACATCAAATGCAAGGATCGTTGCATACTCTTTCCCCCTCTCCAACATGGTTGATGCCTTTGTGACATCTCTCTTGTGAACTGGTCCTATGTTGATGCCAGACACAGGGATCTTCGAACTTCGAAGGAATTCTAGTAGAGCCTCTAATGAACCAAGCGTGGATGCCTGAACATACACTCCCTTCCCCGATTTGTCCACGTCTGTCAAGATCGTCTGGAAATCCTTCATGACTTCATCTCGACAATACTCCATTTCAACTTCGCTGGTCGGGTCCTGTACGACCATAAGCTGTGTCCCTGCAACAGCCTTCTCCATACCTTCGGCGGAAATCTTGATCCCCTGCGCAGCCTTGATTTCTTTGTGGTGAAGGTATTGCCCTTTCACTCGCATCTCCTTCATAGGATGAGGTGTCAGAAGCGCACGGATTGTAGAAACAATCGGGCCATCCAAACCCACAACCATAATCGTGTCTCCCTCCCTTATCGTGCCGCCAGTTAATATTACATCGATTGTGGTGCCTAGACCTTCGATGACCTTAACTTCTAGGACTGTTGCTTCAAGGAGGGGATTAAACATGAGTCTATCTGTGAGAAGTTTCTGAGGCAGCGCAAGTAGCAACATCAGAAGATCCGGAATACCCTCTCCTGATATTGCCGATGTCGGGACGAGAGAAACCGTCTTCCGCGGATCTTCGTTCTCCCAATACAATTCCGTGTTGAAACCTATTTCAGCAAATTCAAGTTGAGCATCGCGTACTCGTCTCATGAATTCTTCCCTGGCATGCCTGGGTTGTTTTGCAATAGAATCTCGCGTTGGGCAGTTATGCGGTTGTGCATCCCAATCATAAATTCGGTCAATCTTGTTGAGAGCAACAATAAACGGAGTCTTCCTAGCCTTCAGAAGCCCAATACTTTCCTTAGTCTGCGGTTCCAGGCCATGCAGGATATCTACAACCAAAATTGCAATATCGCAGAGAGAAGACCCACGCGAACGCAGATTTGTGAACGATTCATGGCCAGGTGTGTCAATGATGAGCAGAGACGGGACGTTGTAGTCCAGTTGCCTTCCTTCCGCCAGCTTGGTCGCTTCTTTTTTGACGGCATCGATCGGGAAGTATGTAGCGCCAATCTGCTGAGTGATGCCACCTGCCTCCCCATCTTGCACATTCGTGCGCCTGATGCGATCCAGAATTTTTGTTTTCCCAGTGTCGACATGGCCTAAGATGCAAATCACAGGAGAGCGCAAGTGATCCGCGGTGCGAGATGCAAGGGCCTGTGCTTTCTCCTTGCCGTGAGCTTTGCGGACTGCGTCAAGACGTTTCTCGGCGGCAATCTCGGCCCTTGTCATTCCTTCATACTCGGAATCAGTATCTTCGGATTCGTCATCCTCCTCCGATTCTTCCCCTTCGTCACCTGCCGTTTCCGTTACTTCGTCTGCATTCCCATCAACGTTGCCGTTCTCCTTAGGCTCCTCCTCCGGATCAGGTAATTCGTCCCAGGCATCTGGAACAACTTCTAGTTTTGGCTCTGGGATTTCCTTCTGCTTTTCTCCTAAGCTCTCTTCTGTGCCTGGAAGATTCGGTTCTACTTCGAGTTGCCGTTCCGCAGGAGTAGTCACTGCAGGAGCCCCTTGAATCGTATTTTTCGGTTTTCTCTTCCTGTCATAAACTATTCTGGTGGGCTTTTGCTGTCCCTGCTCGCCGTCCGTCGGATTTGCAGCGCCAGGGATCTGTCCCGAACTCAATAACTGCTGACGAAATTTCTCTTGCTTTTTTCTGCGCTCCTTCTCTGCCTTCGATAACAGGGTGCCCTCCTTCCTCTTCCGATCGCGCTTAGCCTTTTCAGCGGCCTTCTTTCTAGCCTTCTCGTCTTCCTTGCGCTTGATTTCTACCAGGCGTTGCTCTTCCTCTTCAGCTGCTTTGGCCTCCTCCTCCTCTTGAATCCTTCGTAACCGCTCTTCCTCTGCCAACATTCTCTCCCGTTGCTCCCGCATCCTCCGGACCGCCGCAGATTCCTTTTTCTTTGGTTTTTTCGTCTCAGTGACGGTGGGAGCGGCAGGTGCATCACCGCCATCTTCCTCTGGCTTGGCAGCTCCCTTTTTCTTCTTCTTCTTCGCCTTCTTCTTTGCAACAGGCACGTCTACACCACCTAGCTCCGCCAAGAGATCGTCGACATCTGCCTCAGCAGTCTCCGGTTGCTGCTCGGGTGCGGCAGTCGCCGGCGGCCCTCCGAGCTCAGCCATGAGCGCATCAATGTCCTCCTCCTTGTCCGCAGTAGCCTTCTTCTTCTTCTTCGCGCGTTTCTTCTGGGCAGCAGTCATGGGGACAGCCTCTGCGCCTTTGGTGTCCTCCGGCTCCTTTGGGTTTTCGGAAGTAGGGGCATCGCCCAGCTCAGCGAGAATGGCATTAAGCTCAGCATCCTCTTTCTTCGATTTGTCGAGTTTGGCCTGCCGCTCGCGCTCCTTCTTCGCCTTCTTCTTCTCAGCAGCGGTCATGGGCCGCTTCGGCTGTGCCAGTTCCTCAGGCTGTGCCAGTTCCTCAGGCTGTGGGATGGGCTGAGACGAGATTTCGGGCTCGGGCTGCGGATCGAGGTCCTGCTGGTCGAGGTCAAGAGCGGGCTGAAGATCGAGCTTCTTTTTCTTCTTCTTCTTTTTGGATATGGCAACCGGGGCAGCATGGCTGGCATCAGGATCTTCACCGTTCGATACAAACGGGGCAGGATTTTCTTCCTCTTCTTCTCCCGCTCCGTTGGTATCGATTTCAAGCGCGACGAAAGCGGAATTCAACGGCGGTGCGATCTCTTCGGGATGAGGATCTGGATTTCCGGATGCAGAAGCAGCGGCGGAGGGGGAAGGCGGGGCCTCATCCTCGTTTACGGTCTTCTTCTTCTTCTTTTTCTTCTTCTTCTTGCCAAGCACAAGCTCTGGAGCGGCGTCGGCGGGAGCTTCGAACTGAAAGATATCGTCATTCATGTTTGAAGAGCGAGCGAGGACAGAGTGAGCGAATCACGGAAAGTACTGCTAAGTCGCAAGATGACGTGGTCTCGATGAAAAGGGCAACCCGAAGGCACAACGTCGACGCATGCAGCGAGTCGAAACAGAAGACAACAAGTTTGGGTTGATAAGTGTGTCAGATTCACGCTGGGGTCTGCGGGAGCGTTGAAGAATTATGTTCGACGGGCATATCGCCGTGTCGGGACCCTAGGCTGCTGTAGCGAATCAGAGAGCACGTGACCAGTAGTAGGGCTTTCGTGCCATGGACATTACACTTCTTTACAGTCAACGTCCAAAGCACAACACATGGCGACCTCAACAAGTCGACGGACAGAAAACGCTCACACGTGTTCGACACGTACAAGTACAGTACCGTTGGTACAGTACAGTGCTGTACACCCTACATCCTTGCCTACACTACAGCGATGCTTCTCCAAACCCCCCTCTCCAAACCCCCCTCTCCAAACCCCCCGACTCTTCATCCCTCTTCCTCTGCACCCCACCCGCCCCTTTCCCTCAGCTCACCTTCTGACGCCTCCCTCCCTTCTCCGTGAGCAGTTTATTCTGTGCTCTTTCCGTTCCCAGTTAGACATGCACGGCCGCTAGACGCCCTTTTGCTGTCATCGCACGCCAACCTCCCCGCCCTCCCCGCAACGGCCGTGCACGGCGTGCAAACGCACGTCCATGGCGTTGACAAAGGGACAAACCGTCGCCCTGCTTTTCACCATCAGTCTCTTCAACTACATTGACAGATGGAGCGTCGCGGGCATCCTCAACGACCTTCAAGCACCACTGAAGAAGGGAGGCTTCGGCCTCACCGATACCCAGGGTGGCCTTGTCACTAGCGTCTTCATTGTCACCTACATGATTCTGTCCCCGGTCTTTGGCTACTTTGGCGATCGCGTCCCCCGTATTCCCTTGCTCTTCTGCGGAATTCTGGGCTGGAGCGTCGCCGGCCTTTTCGCCTCCTTTGCAGAGTTTTACTGGCAGTTTCTCGTCTTTCGCGCCCTGGTCGGCGTCGGAGAGGCTTCGTATGCCGTATTGGCCCCCACTATCATCGCAGACCTCTACTCTGGCACAGAGCGAACCCGCGTACTGGGCCTGTACAGCGCTTCCGTCCCCCTCGGCTCGGCCATGGGGTACATCTATGCCGGTGAAGTCGCTCGAGTACTAGAATGGCGCTGGGCATTCCGTTTCACCCCTTTCATCGGCGTTCTTCTAGCCTGCATCCTTCTCTTCCTCGTCACCGAGCCAGCTCGTGGCGACGCCGACGGCGTCGCTCTAGCCCCCTCGGGCTCCGACAGCAAGATTCTCGAGCGCGAGACGGGCATCTCGGGCTTTTTCGACGACGCCGTCGAAATCTGGCGCGTTAAGTCCTTCTTCTGGAGCACCTTTGGCGCCGTTGGTATGACTTTCACTGCCGGTGCCCTGGCTCAATGGTCCACCGCCCTTCTGCAGCGCGTCAACTGCGACCCGGGTGACGAGTTCTGCGAGGCCACCATCACCCGCACCTTTGGCCTGGTCAGTATTGTCGGCGGCGTTGCAGGATGCTTACTCGGCCCGTTTCTGGCAAGAATCTACGCGAGAAAGGACCCGTCCGGCGACGCTATGGTGTCGGGCATTTGCTTGCTCATTGCTACCCCATTTGTATTCTTGGCTATCTATTTTTCACCTAACAAGTATTCGCTAACTTGGCTATTCATACTTCTTGCCGAGACCTTGGTCAGCGTCACATGGCCCCTGCTCACCGCAATACAGCTTAGTGTCGTTCCGCCATCTCAGCGAAACACAGCAAACGGCATTGCGCTCACAGTATCGCATGTCTTTGGGGACTCAGTCAGCCCCATCGCTGTCGGCGTGTTCGCGGACAAGCTCCACGCCAACGGAGAGGGCTTGTCACGAGCAGTCTCTTTGCAACAGTCGCTCTACATGTGCGTTACGGCGAGCTTCGTCGGAGGTTTCTTCTTCATTTTGTGCTCTCGCACGCTCCAGAAGGATCGAGAAGCGGCGCTCGCACATGTCGACAACGGGTATCGAGAAGTCGAGGCTCTTGAAGAGCCTTCTCGCGTACATCTTGTAGCTGCTGAAATTGAAACAGTGCAGGCAAGTCAGGCTTCGGTGGCATAGCCATTTGAAATCAATATAGTAGCAGGTGTAGCGGAACGTGCAGATGGGTTGCTACTTTGTACAGAAAAACAACAGTGAGTTTGTACGCTGTAAATGTTTGGACAACTGAACAAAGATACTCGTGCCAGGCCAGAAGAGCCTTTTTTATGCCGATGGTAATGCAATTAAGGCGAGGAAACAAGTGTGCCTTCATTGAGGTGCGCCAACAAGAACAATATCTTCACCACACAGTATCCATTTTGGATCAGAGAGGTCCATGGTGGGGAATGAACCATAGTCAGACCTATCTGCCAGGGTAAGACCACTTCCAAACAACTTTGGAGAGATCGTAACTACGACCAAATCACAAAGCCCTGACTTTAGAAATGAGGACAGAACAGCAGCGCCTCCTTCTACCATGACAGAGGATACGTGCTGCTTGTGAAGTGTCTGCAGCACCGATGGAAGGGACAGCAACGTTGAAGAGTGCTGAGCGTGCTCGGCTTTGCGAGCCTCAACTGGAGCACTCTCCAACTGCACCAGCTCTGCCAGTGCTTTCTGGCTTGTATCATCAATCTGATCTACGCCGCGCTCCGCAAAGAAAACGACTGGTCGGCAAGCTACGTTTCTGCGATGCACATCTTCTATGAACTTTGATTTCGCCGGAGTTCTTAGCTTTGGGTCCAGAATAACAGGCACCGGGCTCCGATCCGTCTTTCGAGGTGCATCGATCCCATGTCGCACAAGAGCTTCGTCGACAGTTGCGATATCGCATTGTTTCAAGCGACAGCTGAGGCGTGGATCATCTGCTAGTGCAGTTCCAACTCCCACGAGAATAGCATCGTGTGCTGCTCGCAGCATGTGCGTCATTTGCATAGACTCCTCCCCAGAGATTAAAGTGCGGACCCCTGGCGCAGCCGCTATCATTCCATTTGCAGATTGCGCCCATGTCGCGCAAACAAACGGGCGGTCTGGATGCGATGCCAACGCCTTCACATGAGCAGACAGTAGCCGATCGAGAATATCGTTCATGTTGACTCTGTTGCCATTTCATCAAAGAGCCTCTTTCTCCTCTGAAATACCTGCACTAGGATGGCGGCACCTGAGGCATTTACTATACATACATGCGCGGTCCACAAACAGCATTGTTCCTCACGCGAAGAGTTGGGACGACCTAATGACTTAGAGCACCTCTATTGCTAGCGAATAAATATGTATATTTTGGGACCGAATGGTCCGATAGATCTATCGGCACTACCACACTCCAATACGCCCCCCGATTGTTATACTCTGTAACTTTCCAATTCCACGTCCCTGGGCTGATCACAAAATCTGTCGCAACAGTCGCCACTAGTTGTGGCTAGTTGTGTGGTCACTAGTTGTGGCGTCCTTGGTAGACGTACTTCGTTCAACTGCGAAATATCTCGAAGTGGTGGAAGCTAGTTTGGCTTTATTTGTTTAGCCCTAAATTTGGGGAAAATGGGAAAGTGTCCTGGCGGACGAGCCCCGGAAATCCAGTTATATTGAAGTCCGAGGGCGGTATCTCGGCTGGCCCTCGGGAGCAACTTGCTACCCTCCCAGAGTGCCTGCGTCAAGTCCCGATACGCTACCTGCGAAATTTCCCCGCCCATTCCACTCTCGCAACTCCAGTCCCCCGCCGCTGCGTGCGACGAGCGCGGCTCCTTTCTAACCTCATCTGCCTGTTCTCCTACAGGACAATACTACACAGTACACTAGTCGTTTTCATGCGGTCTGCCTATTTTGGAGACTGATATCGAGACCCTCACGGCAGAGGTTAGTGGTATCACTGCGCTTTCGCTCTGGCACATCAAAACCTTCCATGGCAGTTGAGTCCACTTCTATTCTGTTTTACGTAAATGGGCAACGCCGGCAAGCGGACGGCAATGCTTGTCTACAAACACTTCTTTCCTACTTGAGATATACTGAAAAGTTGACCGGAGCCAAGCTCGGCTGCGGAGAAGGGGGATGCGGCGCTTGCACCGTTCTGTTTTCGACGTTCGATAATGCCACGCGACGAGTCTGCCATCGTGCGGTCAACGCCTGCCTCTTCCCACTTGCAGCGGTGGACGGTGGAGCCGTTACCACCATTGAGGCAGTTGGGGATCGCAGAGGCGGGCTCGCACCAGTTCAACAAGCCCTCGTCAACATGCACGGTAGCCAATGTGGATTTTGTACGCCTGGAATCGTGATGAGCATGTATGCCTTGCTGAGAGACAATGCAGCTAATAGGCCTGAGTCACAGCCTCTTAGTGAGCAGGATGTTGAAACAAACTTCGATGGGAATCTTTGCAGGTGTACGGGATACCGCCCGATTCTGGATGCTTTCAAAGGCCTAGTGAATCATAACAATGATGCATGCCAGCCCTCTTGCGTCCTTGGTGAGGCTTGTTGCAAGGTGAGCGGGAATTCTGGTTGCTCAAACGGAGAACTTCAGGAAAATGGAGTCGATATAGGAGATCGACAGCAAATCAATGGAGTTGAGGATCAGAATTTTGACAAGGAGTTCATTTTTCCTCCTGAGCTCATTCGGTACGACCATCCCGCTCTTAAGCTTGCCCACGGGCGGTGGTTCCGTCCAAAAACTCTGGAGAGATTTAAGGAGATCAAAGCTGCCTATACAGCCGCAAGAGTGATTGTGGGGAACACGGAACTAGGAATTGAGGCAAAATTCAAAGGCCTGGAAGTGGAAACATTTCTATGTGCAACGCATGTACCTGAAATGAATAGTATCGTCACAAGTGCAGATGGCGTGAATATCGGGTCTTCCGTCACGTGGACGCAGCTGAATGAATTTGTTAGCAATTTAAACTCTCTGGCGAAAGCGAATAGTCCGAAAAGGATAGAGGAGCACAAATATGGTTCACTGCGAGCAATCCAGTCCCAGCTCCGATGGTTTGCTGGAAAACAAATTCGCAACGTCGCGGCAATTGGTGGCAATATTGTCACTGCTTCACCGATATCTGATGTCAATCCGGTTTGGATTGCAGCCAAAGCTGATTTTATGATCCTAGACTGTCGAACGGGAGACGAGCGATCTGTGGCTGCAAAGGAATTCTTTTTATCTTACCGCAGAGTTGATTTGAAGCCAGAGGAGGTTTTGCTTAACGTGCGAATTCCGTGGAATCAGGACCCATGTGATTTGACATTTGCGTTTAAGACAGCGAGAAGAAAAGATGACGACATCGCCATTGTTTCGGCTGGGATTAGAATTTTCCTGGAATCAAAGAGTGATCGTGATACTCAAAAGGACAACTACTCAACTCACCGAGACGCCTATTTCATTTCTGACATTATACTCGCGTACGGCGGGATTGCCCCGAAGACTGTCTCTCTGGGCGACGCTGAGTCTTTCGCACGTGGACTTCCGTTTTCTGAGAAATCTCTACATAGCTTGCTAGGAAAATTGGCTGTGGAGACCTTGCTTCCAAAGGACGTCCCAGGGGGAATGCCTGAATTCCGACAAAGCTTAGCTCTAGGATTTGTTTTCAAGGCCTTCCTGCAGGCTGCATCGCATCTCAAGGAACACTGTGCGATGAATGGTACTCGCTATGTTCCTTTCTCAGACAAAGAAACGAACCTAATGAAGGAAATCCAGATACCGAGAGAGGAGTATAGAGTAAGTCGAGGTGTACAAGTTTGTACTGATAGGGGGCCGCAAACCGCGATGGATTCGACTGGAACGTCTGTGAAGCACTTATCAAGCCTCCTGCAGGTCTCCGGAGAGGCGAAATATCTAGATGACATGAAACCTATCGACGGGGAACTCCAAGCGGCCTTCGTAATGAGTTCAGAGAGTCATGCCCGAATTATTGCCGTGGAAACTGAAGAAGCGAGTCAAATGCCCGGAGTCTGTCGAGTTGTCACTGCGAAAGACGTAAGAGGGGTCAACAGTATTGGGCCACTTGTACAAGATGAGCTCTGCTTTGCTGAAGACGTTGTCACTACCGTCGGCCAAGTGATAGGTATAGTCGTTGCTAAAACAACTGAGCAGGCACTAAAGGCGGTAAGAGCTGTTAAGATTACATATGAAAAGCTTCCTGCAATCCTAACGATTGAGGAAGCCATTCAAGCAAAATCGTTCGCTAAAGGAGTACCGGAAAGAATCATCCAGAAAGGAAATGTTAGCGAAGTATTTGCAGTTGCGGAACGGGATGGTCATACGGTCAATGGTTCAGTTCGCATTGGCGCACAAGAGCATTGGTATTTGGAGCCTCACGGAACGATTGCCATACCAGACGAGAATGGGGAAATGGTAATTCTAGCATCAACTCAAGCTGCAGCAATGACGCAAGACGTGGTTGCAAAGGTGTTAGGGGTACCAATGCACAAGGTTACTTGCAAGGTAAAACGGATAGGGGGAGGTTTTGGTGGAAAAGAAACACGCTCCCTCTTCATATCAGCAGCAGTTGCTGTTGCCGCGCAAGCAGTGCAAAGGCCAGTGCGTCTAATCCTCGATCGAGATACAGATATGTTGATAACTGGGACGCGACACGCCTTTCTCGCACATTACAAAGCTGCTTTCAAAGCCAACGGTAGAATTACAGCATTGCAGCTAGAAATATTTCACAACATGGGCAATTCTACTGACTTGAGTATACCTGTGATGGAAAGGGCCCTGTACCATGCAAACAACTGCTACGATATTCCCCAAGTAAGGTTTGTAGGCAAGGCGTGTTTCACTCATACCGCCAGTTCAACAGCATTCCGTGGGTTTGGGGCACCACAGAGCATGATGATTGCAGAAAACGTAGTTGAACACGTCGCATGGGTGTGCAAGATGCCGGTTGTGAGAGTTCGCGACACAAATATTTTCGGTAAGAATGGGAACAGCTCAACGACGCCCTTTGGAATGAAGTTCAATTCTGATCCCTTACTCTTGTGTTGGGATGCTGCGCTAGTTGAATCTCGTTTTAAAGAGAGAAGGAAAATGGTGGATGCTTTTAACGAGAGTCATCAACTACGAAAGCGCGGCATCTCGGCGCTACCAACAATGTTTGGAATCAGTTTCAGTTTTCGGGCTTTGAATCAAGCTGGGGCTCTTGTACATATATATCACGGAGACGGATCTGTTTTGATATCTCATGGAGGAGTTGAAATGGGACAAGGATTGCACACTAAAATGTGTCAGGTAGCAGCAACAGAACTCCAGCTCCCACTAGAGATGATATTTATATCTGAAACGGCGACAGACAAGGTACCCAACGCTTCACCCACAGCTGCGTCATATTCTAGTGACCTCTACGGGATGGCCGTGAGAAATGCGTGCCAAGAATTGAATAGAAATCTCGCTCCATGCAAAGCCGCACTCGGAGATACAGCATCTTGGCTCAACGTCGTCAGCCATGCCTGGTTGAACCGCATCAGCTTGTTTGCGACCGGTTTTTACAAGACCCCAGAGATTGATGATCTCGATCTGGCCAAGCCTGGGTCGACTGGTAGCCCATTCTTTTATTATACAAATGGAGCGGCAGTATCTGAAGTCGAAATAGACGTACTCACAGGGGAAAGCAAGAATCTGCGAACGGACATAGTGATGGATGTTGGACGTCCTTTGAATCCGGCGCTGGATGTTGGACAGATAGAGGGGGCATTTGTGCAGGGGTTGGGTTGGTGCACAATGGAGGAGGTCGTGAAGGGCTCGACAGGAGCCCATGCCTGGTTGAGGCCTGGTCAGACACTGACGCTCGGGCCAAGCACCTACAAGATTCCGGGGTTTTCGGACACTCCAGAGGACTTTCGAGTCAAAGTCTTAGAGACCAGAAACGAGAAAGATACGATTCACTCAAGCAAAGGTATTGGTGAGCCTCCACTTTTCCTTGCTGCGTCGGTGTTTTTCGCTATTCGGGATGCCATACGCTCGTCCAGACTGCAATATGGTCGAGATGAATGGTTTCAGCTAGACTCTCCTGCCTCTGTAGAGCGGATAAGACTTGCGTTTTGTGACGATCTACTAAGACGTGTCGTTCCAGATGAAGAGGGTGTAAGACCGAAACTCACCCTTTGATGAATCTATCTTGTTGAATCCATTCTTTGCTTCTGCTTCTAATTTCACGTATCAGTCGTGAAGGTTCACGGGTGAGTTTTTCATCACGGTGTTAATACACATTACTAGCAATGTGAACCCCGAAAAACGATGAGGTCTAGTGCCAACAAATTGTGTGTGCCATTTGCTCTAGTATAGGTTGTGTACTGTCAACTCATATGTAAACCGCGTGATGCCCATCCTTACATGGTCACATGATGTTGTTGCCAAGAGCAAGTACGTTGAAGATATGATGTCCAAATTGACGGTTCTAAGTTTGTGATTTTACACGATACATCTCCAACCCTTGTGTATGCGTACATGACATGAGGGCACCTACTGTATTATACATAAAAGGGAAAATACACTTACTCCTGAGTACTGCCACTTGAGCATTGAGAGTTATGACAAGTGAATGGCTACTTTTGAGTAGTTTCCAGTGGTTCAGGAGGCAATTGAACTGGAAGCGGTTGAAGAAGTCCATTTATTGATATCTGCTAGTGTGAATGACTCCAGTACGGATATTCAGGCTGATGAGAGTGAAAACGTAGAGAAGCACAAAACTCCACCTTCTCTGGAAGATGAGGCCTCGTCTTTAGCAACAATACGAATATTGGAAGCAGCCTTGAAAGATCCAGAGGCAAATGTGCTCACTAGACGAGAAAAACGCTCCTTACAAGTTCAGTGAAGCACAAAAGAGGGTATCTCAGTCTACCCTGAATAAATAACGTCGAGGTTAACAAAAGTTGCTCCCTTCACCGCATTTTGCCGTCGTAAAAATGTCATTTCTGAATGGTGCACATCTCGGAGCAGCGCACATTCTACTGGCATGCACGTATGTGCATTACTTGGGAGGATCTCCCGTACTGCTAAATTCTCTGCGCATGTCCAAGCACGGTCATATCTGCGTTTGCCGAAGGCACGACGCCCCCTTATGGAAATTTTAAATGGCTCGAAGTGTTCTCCACTGTGCAGATACGTATGTGATTGGTGTTGGTGCTGCATTCTACGCCGCTTCATCCCGCACCAGAGAGAGGGGAGATGGAAGAACAAAGTTAAAGCAGAAACCCTGGTCCAATACGGAAAGAACCCAACTTATACGTGTACCTATAAGCAAGACTGATGGGTATCAAGGTCAAACCTCGCCCGGCAGACGATTTAGCAACTGTGACGAGATGGCTTCGCATTTTGCGAAACGGGAATATAACGGCAAACAGGCTGTGAGCACAGTATGGAGTTTATAGAACGATATGACGAAGGTATGGAACACTACGTGTGCAAAACCAGCAACTTGTACAGTACTGTATATGACGAACACGAAGAGTTCAATAGACCGGGAATCATATCAACGGATACCGCGTGCAAATCTATTTCTCAGGATGATCGCGCAACCCTTAGGTTGCGCGATCATGCTGAGATATAGAAAACCTGAGATGCGGTAGAAGTGCCCTGAATGGTATGGATTGCGTCTACCACCCGAAGGGTAAGTACTGTAGAAGAAGGCATCTCGATATCCCGTTCTGCTCGTTGCTGCCGTATTCAGCAAAACTTTTGTTGATGGTAATTCACAGGACTAGTCTGATTTACTGCTGTGCAGTCGCACTGGCGCCCGCTGTGCGTCGTTCTTCAATGGAGTGCGCGTTTTCAGACATTCTGAAAGTGACATGCGTGCAGCGGAAGAAGCCCTTAGTCAAGCCCCTACGAGAACAGCCGGTCATAACCAGGCATGAAGCTCGTCCTCAGAGAATGCGGGAAATGGGAGGAGAGCACTGCAGTTACATGTGGGCGTGGCACTGTGGTCGCACTATCAATTACGGGTTGCACGCAAGATGGTCATAACCAGGCATGGTGCTCGTCCTCGGAGAATGCTGGAAACGGCGAGGAAAGAGCACTGCAGTTACATGTGGGCGCGGCACTGTGGTTGCACTATCAATTACGGGTTGCACGCAAGATGGAAGGGTAGCGCAATGAATTCATCGTATGTGATTGTGGAGGCGGATGTCCGAGAATGTAAGGCAACAACTTATGGCGTTATTACTTATTGCAACTGATGGCAAACTGCCATCCCGTATCGACGTGGGAGATAGGCGGAGATAGGGCACGGACCTTGCTGTGACACTCGTCTATAGTAGGACCAAGTGGCGGCACGGTGAGAAAGAATACAGAACAGAAACCCTAAGAATATTGCGCATTTGCCGCGAGGGCATGGGCCAAGACGTGATGGCGGAGACCGAATGAGAGAGCGGCAAACACGTCGGTGGCCCTCATTGGACTCCCACTTATGATTGCGAGGGGCCTTTCACCACACCCAATCTTCCTCACCGCCCGTTTGCCAAAAGGGCCATATTTGCGCGGTGCGGGAGCTTGCACTACGGCACCGGTGCAATTTCCCACAAGGACAAGATGTTCGCTCTCGGAATGCTCGTGCTCGTCGGGAACGAGATCAAGTAGTGCATTCGTGTTAAGACATTCCTTTCGAGACCTATCGTCCCCCCGCTTCATAAGTCTTCCTCCCTGGCAGATTCGCCATGCCACCTTGGACGAACACCTCGACCAACGAGGCGCAGCAGACGCTTAAGACCTCTTTGTGACCACACCTCTCCCCTGACTGCACCATCGCGGCCGTCTCGTCCCGAGAGAGGTATAAAAATAATGGTATTTTGAAATCGAGGCGAGAAAAAAGGCTGCTTGCACGTTATGTCTCCAGTTGGTTGCCCTCTACCCTTCTACCCTTGGGTAGACTCGCATTATAGAAAATACGATGTGGTTTTAAAAAACGTGCAAATGGCTTTGGTAGGGCATCCGTCCATGCCGCCTTCAAAAAAATATATGTTGCCGTTTTTGTTAAGCAGACAGACCTCTAGAGATCCCGGACTCCGATGGCGTCAACGACAACTGATTGAGCGGTGCCGGTCGGGCCGACGCAAGAGCTACGTCGCGGTCTCTCGTGGACATCGACCATGGGTGGACCGCGGCGCGCACAACAAGGGCGCGAGCTGGCAATTTGGCGAGCCGGGCGGGGCGGGTAGATTGTCGATATCCGGAAACGCGTTGTGAGGGGAGTTTTCGTTTTTGGAAGCGATAGGAAAAAGACATCGAAGAGTGCAGTATTTGCTGCTGAGATGTATAGGTGCATGGGTGCACTCACATACGATGGGTAGGAATGAATGGGCTTCCACTGGGTATTGTAGTGCAGCGTACAGTATTATAGGCCGAAGTGGAACGGAGGTGCACGGATCATTTTGATTTTGTTGGTACTGTTAGCGGCCATTGCGGAGGTGAAGAGTAAAAAGAGCTAGAGTAGCGAAGAGGACAAGCCGGCGAGAGCCGAGTTGTCCTCCAGACAGGGGATTCGGCGGACGCTGCACTGGAGCTACTTTTCAGTACTGCACTGTCGGACGTGACATTTGCAGCAAGACAAACGGGAGCGGGATGCGTGGTCGAGTAGCGCAAGGTCGCCGGGTTGGGCAAGAGCGGACGGGGCGTGAGCACACACATATGCTGGATTCGAGGGGGTGGGATGGCGAGAGGAGGAGGGCACTGTATGATAGCGCGGAGGGGGGGGGGGGGGGGCGTGATTTGAGTGGCAGATCGCCGGTTGCATCACTGGGCACCGGTGCAGGAGCACTGTAGATTGGCAATTGTGCAGTTGCAGGGATGACGAATAATGCCGGGGCTCCTCATCAGCGCATTTTTCAGCCTTTTCGGTTGCCCTCCCGCCTTCCCCTACGTCGTGCGCTCGCGCTTACGCTTACGCAGCCCGCTTCCGCCGCCTCCGTTCGTGCCGCCCTCGGCGCACATGACCGCTGTGAACAGCTGGAAAGACGCGCCCGCGCTTCGCGGTGGAGGGCGACCGCACTCTACCGAAGCCCACCACCTCTCGTTTGAAGCCCGCCCAGTAGATCTACGGTCGCCAGTTCCGAAACCGTCCAACACTGTCGCTCCGCGTCTCGTCCTCAAATTTCAACCCTCCTGTTATCCACAATAAATCATCACACAAACTCCTACTGCCTCACCGTAACACCTGCTCT